GGTATTGGTATTGGTATTGGTAATTCTGTAGTTGGGGTACTGTCCCACATTAGATAGCACTGACAGCTAAAGCATGAACAGAATGATATAACCACATAACCACCAGAATTTTATTTGTTTATATATTTATTCTGAGAGGAATTAAGTATAGGGCTAGTATTTATGAACTTGAAAAAATATTTTTAGTCATAGGATCTCCACGAAACCTGAGAGTAACTGATGAAACAACAGATAGTTTTAAAGTTGGATGGTCACCAGCTCCAGGAAATGTTCTGAGATACAGACTTGCATATAGGCCAGTTACTGGTGGGGAGACAAGACAAGTAACTGTCCCAGCAAGTGAAAGAGCAACCACTCTACAGAATCTGGCATCTGATACAACATATGACGTCTCCATAACTGCTGAGTACCAGTCTGGAGCTGGAAATCCATTGAATGGACATGGAAAAACTGAAGAAGGTAGGTAATCAACACCCTACTTTTGCAGTCAAGTGCATTTTCGTATAGGATACAGTAGTAAAAATCTGTTAGCCTAACTTTACTGTAATGGGAAGCTATGGCACATGTCATTGGTTCACTGGCAGCATGCAGAATAATAGCTTGACATGTGTCATCTTGAGTGTGTTAATTATTGTGTATTAAACCAAAAATATCTACATGTCTTTACCAATATCTGAATCCAGGTTCTTTGTAGAGGCACACTTATCTTTAGCAATAATATTTCTCTGTATCTCTTAAATTTCATTCTAATGGCCAAAATAGACACCTATTTCTTTTCTTCTTTCTCCCTAAAATTGCAACTTTTAGCACAGAGATCTAACCTTAACCACAATGATGGCAAAATAATGAAAGCTCTGCCCTTTTGTACTTGCATTGTGACATTGCACACAAGTGCGTAAGAGCTGGAGTTTGTGTTACAATGTCCCATGCCCTTTCTCCATACTTCAGGTGAACAGGTATAGGTTTCAGGTATTATTTTGTTGTTGTCTAACTTTGTTGCCTAAACATCAGTGCTATCCTGTATCACTTGCTTACACAGTAAAACTGATTTAGCAGACTCCATTTAAAGACTTCAGATGCAATGGAACAAATTTCTATTTAGTCATCCCCCCTGAAATAATAGAAAGGTCCATTACATCCAGATTAGTCCAGATGAGGCACTTAAATTTCACCTTTTATATATTTTACAATGTATGTGGTGATGAGGTCATTATGCAAATGATACAAATTCATGTCATTCACATCAATTTATGCACTTGTGTAATGACCTCCTTATACAAATGATGTCAATTAATGTATATGGCATACTTTTGGATTTAACAGACATTTGGGAATAATGGATATCCCACCCATCCAATTAATTCATTAAATCAAGGTTTGGTGTATTATTAAAAAAATAATTGTATCACAGTAATTTATTTCACCTATATTTCACAGAACTTAAAGACAGCAAATTGTTCTTGGAATGTTTTTTTGATTTCCTAAGGTTTTTAAATTTATCCTATATAGTGCTTGGGACACCAAGAGACTTGAAAGTTTCAGATGCTACAACATCCTCACTGAAATTATCTTGGAATTCAGCACCTGGCAAAGTGCAGCAATATCTTATAACATACACTCCAGTGATTGGAGGTGAACCTAAAGAGATCACCGTAATGGGAGATACCACTAGTACAGTTCTCCATGACTTGGAACCAGGAACAAAATACGATTTGTCACTAACTGCCCTTTATGCATCTGGAGCAGGAGAGGCTCTTTCTAAACAAGGAGAAACTCTTGAAGGTAAGAACAACTGGATTTATTATGGTTGGGATGGAAGACCACATTTATCTGAAGAAAACAAAAAACAGGAATTAACACAGTTTCCCTAAGGAAGAATAGATCACCCCTCCCCCCCCAAAAAACCCTAAGGTTGTCAATGCCAGCTAAAATTAGTATTGTAAATTTCCTCTTCCCCAGTAATTGTATGCATATTTTACATTTATATGGGCATATATGTATATACCTGTGGGAATACATGCATATGAGAGACAGTTTGGTGTAGTGGTTAAGGCATCAGGCTAGAAACCAGGAGACCGTGAGTTCTAGTCCCGCCTAGCCAAGCTGAGTGACTTGGCCAGTCACTTTCTCTCAGCCCTAGGAAGGGGCCAATGCAAACCACTTCTGAAAAACTTTGCTAAGGAAATGCAGAGACTTGTCCAGGCAGTCTCTGAGAATTGAACACAACTGAATGAATTAAAAAAAAAAAGCATGCATATACTGTACTTGGAATATTAGAAATAAAGAACTTACTCAGAACAATGAAAACGGTGGGTTTGTGAAATATGGTTTATAATTTAGCGTTATTGGTGAATCAGGCCTCAGTGGTTTGCTCAAGAAAGATTGCTTCAACCTTTGCTTAGCATAATGTGTGGATTCAGCCAGCTTTTGCTTTTGTATTCCTTTTTGCCCTGAATTAAACAGACAATTGCAACAGGCTTCAGGTGTTATTTTCTTTCAGCAGCTCAGAGAGGATTTCAATTTGCAGAAAGTATCAAGGATTGCTTCTGGAAAGCAGCCATTCACTGTGCATAAGTTTGATTGTAGAGAGCTTTCAGAATATGTATATGGTCCATGATGAAAATATAGCAAAAAAGATCTAGCTCCTATTCAGATCCTTTTAACTTCTTCCCCTCCAACCATTGCCATCTTATTTATCATGCTCCTTCTATCCATGCTTAACATAACCATATAATCTGAATGATAAAGCATAGAAAGAGACAACATCCATAAGTATCAAATTCTAAGTATATGATTAAAGGCCATTATCTATAATAAAATTATTATTTATATCTTCCAGATCTTACTGGGTTACATTATGAAAACATCTGTTATCAAAAAGTGTCTCATTACTTGGGTATTTAGCTTGTCTTACTCAGGGACCGAAGAGCCGAATTGTGTAATTACTATGCATACTTTTGAATAATGTTCACCCTGTGGAATGTGTTTTTTCTTCAGCTAGATGAGAAAGCTTTGCAAATATGTTGTAGATATATTTTAAGGGCTCTAGAGAAGGTTTTTGTCACGGATTGTTTTAGGAGAAAAATTGTACAGACCTCTGAATTAGTACAAAAAAAATGATAATTGTGCTCATGATCTCAGCAGCACAAAATGGAGTAGGTTCTAGCTTTAATACCCTTAAGAACAAGCAGCTCTTGTGGGTGGGGTGAAAGAACTTTAAACGTGTGTGTAACAACAAAATCGTAAGATAAATTTGAAAAAAAAAATAGAACATATAAGCAAGAATAGGGTGCCTTGGTGCAAAGAGACATTTTAGAACAATCTTTTATGATAGATCACTTCAGTGAATTGTATTAGTAAAATTAATTGAACAAGTTATTTGAGATAGAAGTAATAGATGTATAGAAACCAAGAATGCCATTTTTGAGCAGAGTAAAGAAGTTGTTTGGCTTGTACATGCTTATTCCTCAAGAACACTCATACTGCATGACTATTAGGAATATGAAAAAAATAATCACAGAACAACAACAAAAAGAGAAATAAATTTTGAAACTCTACAGGTAGTCCTCGAGTTACGACCATTTGTTCAGTGACCATTCAGAGTTATGACGGTGCTGAAAAAGGAGACTTACGACCAGTCCTTGAAGTTGCGTCCATTCTAGCACCCCCACAGTCACATGACTGCAATCTGGGTGCTTGGCAACCCATTTGCATTTGGGTTGCTAAGTGCCCCACGATCACACAATCACCATTTGCAATCTTCCCTGCTGGCTTCCCCCAAGCAAAGTTAATGGGAAGCCAGCAAGGAAGGTCTCAAGTTGCTGGGGTAAGTCTTCCAACTCCATCCGTTTTTTGCTTGCATACACCCCGCATCCTCTTTCCTCAGTCTCCCTGCGATCACATGTACCCCCGCACCTTCATTCCCCAGCCTTTCTGAGGTCCTGCTGCATTGAGCACCCCTCCCCCAACTCATGCCCTTCCAGGGCCTCCCCCACCATCCTGTAGCACCCCTGCACTCCTTACCTGGGATTCCCTCTGCTTCCCGCTTAACGACCCATGCGTCTTGCGTTACCATGACAACCTGGACTGCCTGGATCGCTGTCGCTAAGTGATGTGGTCATGTGACATCGTGCTTTATGACCACATCGCTTAGCAACAGCAATCCCGGTCCCAACTGCAGCCATAACTCGAGGACTACCTGTATGGGGAGATTTCTGTGTCTTGAAAATGTATTGCTGTATTGCAGTGCAACTTCTTCCTAAGAAAAGACGTTTGAAGCAAACACATTGATTATGCTGAAGTGGGAAGGTAGCAATTTTTATTTTAGGTTCACATGAAATAGAATATACTGTTGTTATTAAACTTTTTTTGGTCCAATAACACTGGGGGAAATATCACACAATGTGTGGCATTGCCCAGATGTCATTATGCCATAAATAATTTTTATTGATACCAAACCTATTAACATCTCCAGGTTTACCTAGATAGGTTTGCATATCTACAGTTTTCCCCAGAGATTTTTTTGTCCTTAAATAAAAACACAGTGTTCCCAGCAATCTGACTTTGTGGCAGATTATACAGTAGAGGGCATAACTTTTAAGAAGTGATGACCCTCTTTCAGAAGTTGAAGTTTTAAATCTCTGTTTCACTTATTCCACAGTATTACATACATACGTGGCCCATTTTATCATATTGATCCCATTCCTGGGATCTCACATACCTGCCTTCAGGTTCTTCAGCCTTTTGTCTTGGTCATTATGTCACTTTGTTCTCTGGCTCAACAATAACCTTTTTCCTTTAAATGGTTAATCATTTCAGACCTAGAAATTTTAAAGAAGGAATAAATGAGTAGATTTTTTTTCAGTTTTTTATGCTTCATTTTTAAACAAAACCTTTTGGCAAACCAACTTTCTTTCTTTCTTTAATATAAAAAACAGGAGTGAGTTTTCAAGCTATATTCCCACCCTCCACTAACCCATACTTAATTGAATCATGTCTTATGAATTAATCCAACTGCTTGGGTTTACACAGTTCACTGTATGATAAACTATTCACATTGGCTAGATTCACACAACATACAGAGTTACAAACATGCAAACAACAATTAAGCAACGTGTTGTGTGAACCCAGCATCAGGATCTTCTAACAGTTAAAATATAATTATGCTAAATCAGTGTTGTCCAAACTTGACCACTTTAAGATGAGTGGACTTCAACTCCCAGAATTCCCTAG